TATGCTGAAAAGTCAATATTTGACTTGAGGACACCCTAAGATGTTGAAAACTCAATCTTTGACTTGAGGACACCCTAATATGCTGAAAACTCAATCTGTGACTTGAGGACACCCTAAAATGCTGAAAAGTCAATATTTGACTTGAGGACACCCTAAGATGTTGAAAACTCAATCTTTGACTTGAGGACACCCTAAGATGCTGAACACTCCATCTTTGACTTGAAGACACCCTAAGGTGTTGAAAACTCGATCTTTGACTTGAGGACACCCTAAGATGCTGAAAACCCAATCATTTACTTGAGAACACCCTAATATGTTGAAAACTCAAACTTTGACTTGATGACACCTTAAAATGCTGAAAACTCAATCTTTGACTTGATGACACCTTAAAATGCTGAAAACTCCATCTTTGACTTGAGGACACCCTAAGATGCTGAAAACCCAATCATTTACTTGAGAACACCCTAATATGTTAAAAACTCAAACTTTGACTTGATGACACCTTAAAATGCTGAAAACTCCATCTTTGACTTGAGGACACCCTAATATGCTGAAAACTCAATCTGTGACTTGATGACACCCTAAAACCTCAATCACAACTGAACCTATGGGATTTCTTGGTGATGTTCAGTTATTGTTATTGTGAATACTGCATCTATTTATAAAAGGGCCCATATTACTTGTGATATCAAAGACTTCAAACCGATTTTGGCCATAAAAACAAATACATACTAAAACATTAGCTTTGGGTATTTACATATTGCTGGTCAAGGTCAAGATAATTACTAATTTCACTTTGTTTTATTTCAGGATGGTTTGATTCAACAATGTGCTGATATAATGACTGAAACAACAAGGTATTCAAAATCTTAGCTTTCCAAACTTATAATCTTATACATGTAGCAGGGATTGAAATACCCTGGTGCACACTGCACTATGCACATAGATTATTAGCTAGTGCAAGTAAACTCAAAATATAATGTGCTCACAGTGCATGTAGAAACAACATTTTCTCATTATATTCACTAAGCCTAAATTAAGTTCAACCAACATTGTGAAACAACTTCGAAAAAAACAATTCTTTCGTGATCGCATCAATCGAGAACCCGTAAATTTTATTTAAACTTTAAAAGTAATGCATTTCACAACATGTTAGTGCAGGTAAATTTCAAATTCAACATGCACACTATGCATGCAGGGAAAAAATTCTATTTCAATCTTATAATCTGTTTTTTGTCATTATCAGGTTGTTGTAAGAATTCCACATTGAAATATCTACATGCCATTTCAGCAATTTTTCTCACTGCATAGCAGGTTCTTAAATTACCGTACTGTAAAATGTGTCTTCTTTAACTAGTTATTCTAGCTAATCTGTAATTTTGCTAATTCAAGATTCACTAATTTAAAATAAAGTATATTCTCACAGAGATTGTTGGTACTAAATTAAGATTCTATTAATTTATGCAATCAGTCCAATTTTCTAAAATGGCATGTAGATATTTCAATGTGAAATCTTTTATATTAGCTACATCTTGAATTTGAGAAATTGCTTAACTAACATGCTCACTGAAAAGACATGTTTTACAGTATGTACAAAAGCAGTACTGGCTGATGCATAGCCTGATAATCATAATTTAGTGAGGTATATTGGCAACAGCTTGTAATGTCAGTGAAAAGATTGTGTGATTGTTTGCGTTCAGTGATTCTATTTCCATCATTGAACCTGTATCTGATGTAAACAAAGGAAATTGTACAAATGTGGGTTGAATCTGACAGGGTTTCCAAATGAATACAACTCTAATCAATTTGAACACATTCGTATCTCAGACATTGGTTTTGGAAAATGGCCCGGGAGCTAAAAATGAGTCGCATGAACACAATAACATGATAGATGGAAGCAGTGTTATTAAATTCTCTTAAAAATAGTAATGATTGGATGAGTGATAATTAGCTCTTCTGAGTGATAGATGAGTGTAGTAATAATGTCTGTTAGAAATATTGTTTTCACTGCTAGATGTGCAAATTATCATATTCAAGACATGTTGTGAATTACTTAATGCAACTATTTTGTTTTTCTTGCAGTAAAAAAACAGTATGTACTTATCATGCTGCGTCCTCTGCTTATGGATTAAGCCTCGTAGCTAATAGGTATGTAGCCCTGCTCTTATCACATTCATAATTTGTTGATATAATTAAGCAGTATGTCACATGTACCCAGTAGTCTATAAAGGTCTGTGTTTGATTAAAATTGTTTTCGCTACTGAGTATATTACTGCACATATTGCAAGGCATTATGGGAGAAATTATTCTAATATGAATAATGGAAATCTATTGTTCACTAGAAACTCACTAATTAACAATATTTAAATTCTTATCAATAATAATGTATAATAATAAATAATATCACCATAGAAACCAGTGCAAGATAATTCAGACTTTTCTGGAAAAACTGTCTGACTTTATTTCGGTGTGCTAGTAGTGTTAACCCCTTATAATGAAAACATGAAGAAGACGTAATTTTTATTCGACCCAAACATGTGTATGTGTGCTACAATGGTTAGCATGTTTGGCTTGCATCAGAGAGATTGTGAGTTCAAACCCTTCGCTGACTTGCTTACTCGCCAGTATAAATTACATTCTGCTGAGACTTGCACACAGTATTTGGTTTCGAGAAATGTTGTTCTATTGGATGGAGATAATAAAAACTGTCAGTCCTGTGTGGTGTTCTTCAATCAATTAACCAATGTATTGTCAATCAGTATCAGGGTGATCATCACTGATGGTTGATTTCCCTTATGTCATCTCTAGTAAGAGGTAGGGCTTCCAGATCTGACTAATGAATAGATGGAAGTGCTCCAACACTGAATATGTGCCAGTGATCTCCCTCGAACTAAAATGACCAACAAGTGGCCTAATTTGCATATGATTATCATAAAACAATCTTGTATAAATACAGATGATTTTATATTCTATAGCTGTGTACAGTGGCTTGAGAGGAATCTGATGTTACTCCAGAGTGTTACAGTACTAAGGGAACTAAGGTATGAGACATGTAAATATCTACCTTCCTCGGGGCCATGCGGCCCATAAGGCTGCAAGGTTCTCTCTCCAGTGCACCCTGTCCTTGGCAATTGGCTTGGCAACATTCCATGATATTCACTCCAATAACTTCCTTTTCCTCTTGACCGCTCACCTTCATGTTGTTTTAGGGCACTCTATTTTTCTTCTCCTTTCCTGGTGCCCATGTGAGGGTTGCAATGCAATGGAAGTTATCCTCCATTCTTAGCATATGGTCAATCCATTTCCATCTCCTGAATTTGACTTCATTGCTGATCTGTTTCATGTTTGTTTTTCTGAGTATGTCACTATTGGATATAACATTTGTAACTAGTGTTTGCATGTCTAAACCTTTAAAGTGAAAACCTGTAGAGTATCGGTAGACTGAAATAATATTCAGTGCATTAAGGAACAGGTCTGAGGTACTTAAATGTACCAAAATCCAGGATTTAAAAACTGATTCTGTTTAAACTTTTAACATTTTTCAGATTTCCGATTGTACTTTTAGATTGTATTTTCTAATTTATTCAAAATTATAAATTTGCACTTTTTGTTCTGACTTCCCAATTTATTTACATTTAAAGTGCCTATGCAATGCCCACCCTCATGTTTCCCATTTTAGATCTGTGTCCCACTGAAATGGGCAGTTATTGATTTTTTTGCTGAAAATGATTACTCGTATCCAAGTAAATTTGGGATATTTCTTGTGTTGTAGCCACGCCCACCTATCCCGAAACGGTAGATTGTTTCCGGATTTCCGACTCTCGCCGAAAGTGCGCCACCAAATGCCAAAATATGAGAGGAAGTCATACCCCTGAGCCGTAATAACACCAGGCATTCAGTATACTTTTAAAGGATATACATTTTTCGGTCGACGTTTTTTTTCTACTTTTTTCGTCTATTTTATTTTTTTGAGAGAGTTTTTAGATGTTGTGTTGTGGGCAGCTGCAGTGAAACGTATAGTCACAGTGTAAGTATTCACACGTTTCTAATCGATCCGAAGGTGCAACATCAGTGGAAGAAAGCCACTTAACCTCAGATTCCTTTTTTTGTGGAAAAACTGTTCTCGTCCATGTAAAAAAACAACTAGGTTTAAAAAGAAACGCCGACAACATAAACCTTGCGCAACACTTTTGAAAGAAATAGATTCGTGACCATGATCACCGAAGCGGATTTCAGAAGAGAGAGAGACGTACGGCAAGTGTTTCAAATGAGTTGACTTTTTTGCGATCCTGATTATCGTTTTATAGAGACCATTAAGTTCCTGTTAAGTAAAAGGTAGCAATAATTTTGACAGTGACACAAAAACGGAGCCTCGACAAACAGGAAATTACACAGCCCTTACACACTGCTAATTGTTTTCATTTTCGAAGGCTAAAAGTTTCTGAATTGTTTGGTGATTGGTGTTGAATGTCGAATTCACACCTCTGTTCTTTTTTTACCTCCATGCTTGCAGCTTGATCTGCGCACAATCCCTCTATCATAGTGATAGAGGGACTGTGATCTGCGTAATAATTTATAAAATAAGAATCCGGGCTTGGTCAATGTGTTTCCACCAAATAAAGTTTTAATATGATGTTATAATTATGACAATCACGCCATGGATCACGCTAACTCGAATCCACTCTGAATTTATCTGTATGTGTGTCGATCTCGAATATTTTTGTTATCCAATTAAACGCCGCTTTTAACGCACTTGCCCTCGCCGTGACCCGACGCGTTCACCTATTTCAACAAAATTTCAATTTATTTCCAC